AAGGCTCTAGCTGTCTGAGGGCAAATATCTGGAAAACAGATTGGAAGAAGAAAAAAAAAAAGGAAAAACATTCATTGGTTAATAATAGAATCTCATAAAACCTATCAAGAACAAGTAATATTTTTACCCCAATTTTAAAATTAAAATAAATAAACATAACATTATAATAGATTAGAGTTAGACAAATCATTTGATGATATATTAATAATGTTGCTCAAACAGTGGACACTAGCAATGCTAAGGTCATGAGTTTAATTCCCAAGGAATGTAAGAACTGATGAAATGTTTACCTTGAATGCAATGTAAGTTGCTTTAGATGAAGTGTCTGCCAAATATACATGTAAATGTAATTGATATTATATTATTATGAATTTTATAATTATATTGTTATTTAGCAATTAATAAAAAATAAACAAAAACAAACAAATAAATAAATTGTGACTCTCTCTGTGAAATCCAGGCTAAAGTCTCAAAATCTAATTATGAGATTACAAGCATCAAAGTTTGATTTCAACCATTAATTTCACTATGATTTCAACCTTTGACATGGCCTTACTCAGTCAATATTAAAGATATAAAGGTTACATTTTCACAGAATGTTCTTTACCTTATCAAGGATGATTTTATGTAGAAAACAGTAAATCACAAAAAAAATAACTTTAGCTGGGTTTTCACAGAGAGGGTCAAAATTATGAAATTATTATAAAATTTACCTAAATTGGTATGCTGAAAATATAATTTGTTATTAATTCATTAAAAATTTAAATAGAATTTTAGTTGTCTCAGATATCTGAACCCCACTGTATATTACTTTTTTTTGACTATAAAGCAGGGGTGTGCAAACTCGGTCCTGGAGGGCCGGTGTCCTGCAGAGTTTAGCTCCAACTTGCCTAAACACACCTGCTGGTAAGTTTATGGTATGCTTATAAGAGCTTGATTAGCTGGTTCAGGTGTGTTTAATTGGGGTTGGAGCTAAACTCTGCAGGACACCGGCCCTCCAGGACCGAGTTTGGGCACCCCTGCTATAAAGAGTGCATTGCCGTCATAGTCAAGCTTCAAGTGCTAGGAACAATTAAACATTAAAATTAATGTTAGATTGATTTTAAATTACATTAATATGATGTAGCAAGTCCTAATCTGGAGAACCGCCTCACCTCTGTGATGAGCAAGTTGATGAGGCCAAGAGAAACTGGCATGATCCAGGTAGAGTCTGGGAGAGTGAGGTCAGGGAACCACAGAACGCCACCTGTTGCCAAACCTGCTTCTGATGTTGATGAATGTACAGAAATATATATGTTAGTATATTAAAAGCTCCCTACAGGTGATTATAGGGATGCACTGCTAAATTCAAACAACAGAACATGTGGAACAATTGACCGATGGATGCGACTCACCGAGGGGAACATGTCCCATTCCCAGGCTGAGATTACGCAAGGCCAGAGACAGACAAACCCACATGGGCAGCTGGACCCAGATCAGCAAACTGGCTTTGAATGGGTGGCAGTTATCTCGAACATAAAGCTCAGACACAATTCGTTTCAGATTCTTCTTGAAATGGAACCTGTGAATGCAATTATAGTAATTAAGTGGCTAACAATGTTTTGGTGTAACTGACAAACTGTATATTATACTGTTTTTGTCAGACCATGCCAGTGTGATGAAAATAAATCTTGTTCAGTAAAAATATCTAAATATTCATATTAAAAAAATGTTTACTAAAGAAGCACACTTGCAATAGATATTAGAACTGTTTTTAATATTGCATATACGTTTAATATTTAATTATAGATTTAGTTATATTTAGGTTTAAAAATAGTTTTAAGTTTTACAATATATTTAATATTTAAAAAAATATATATTTACTAATATTTAAAATGTTCTTACCCCAATGGTAAATAAATTTTAGTTTTAATAAAAAAATCTTGATTACTTGTAGAACTTGTAAAAAAAAAAAAAAGGTAAAAAAACATCTCTTTAATAAAGATATATTTTCTAAAACCAATTTGCTTCAAGTAAATTAAAACAAAATGTCTTTTTTTTTTTGCAGATAAATCTGATTCCTCATTTTCTGAGACCGTTAGTATGGGCTTTTCAAGACTTTAACCCAAGACACAGCAGATAGCATTAAACTAATTATTTCCTACCTGCACGTTTTCTCTGACCAGCCCTTCTCTTTGGCTTTTACAGAGATCTCAAAGCGTAACTGGCGGGCCAACACAGCTATCTCCTTCTGCAGAGCTTCAACCTAGCTGGGGCAAAAGGGCACAAAGGTTACTCTTTTCCAGCCAGAAGTTTTTTCCTTTCCAACAGATACAAAGTCCCTGGCCTATGAAAACATTCATTCACTGGCCACTGTCACTGGGACTAAAAACCTAAATATGGCCTGGATAGACCAGTGTTTTAAATCAGTTTAACAAATTATTAAATTCTTCAGATACAGACAGCCACATGCATATTTTCATGTGCATTTGCATTTCATATATTAAAAGGACAACTGATTTGGCATCTCTGCTTCCATTTTAGATATAAAAACATCAGTTTAAAGAGATGGTCTGACACACTACAGATAATGTTCTCACACTGTGGGACATCAGTGGGGAGGAAAAAGGAGGGGAGGCACATTCTTTTTCTGTTTCAATCCTCCTCCTTGGCAAGAGAAACATCCCACAGCTGGGAGACACTGGGCGAGAGAGAGACTCTTAATAAGGCACATGATCTCCAGTGTTTACTTTGTGATATCTGCTGAACTCCAAGATGTGCCTTACATACTTTTCTATGTGTAGATAAACAAACAAATAAATTCAAATGAGAAAGGTCTGTTTACTCAATGATTCAAGTTAAACCTAGTCAGAAACCAACACTCTCATGTTGCAACATTATTGAAAGGGATAAATCGTTGAAAAATGTTTTCTTTTTCTTTTGAAACCTGGGTTTGATGTGCCTGTAATTCAAAAGGCAAAGCTGGAACTCAAATAACACCGAAGAGATGCCAATTATAGGAATAATGGGAAATGAAAAATGAAAACCAAAAGGAAAATAATGATATTCTAAAAATAATATATCCTTTTAAGAAAAGACAAAAACTGGCCCGTGAATTAGCAGAAATAAGCGCAAAGTACAGTGATAAAATCATCACAACATCGACTACCGTTCATAAGTTTGTGGGCAGTAAATTAATACTTTAATTCAGCGACAATGCATTAAATTGATTAAAAATGTCAGTGAAAACTTGTAATCTTTAAAGATTTCTATTTCAAATAAATGCTGTTCTTTTGAACTTTTTATTCATTAAAGAACCTTGAAAAAATGTATTCACAAAAATACCAACATTGATAATAATAAGAAATGTATCTTGAGCAGCAAATCAAGATATTAGAATGATTTCTGAAGACTGGAGTAATAGCTGCTGAAAATTTAGCTTCGCCATAACTGAATAAATATATTCAGCAAGAAAACTTTTTAAAATTGTAATAATATTTAACAATATAACTGTATTTCTGATTAAATAAATGCTGCTTTGGTGAGCATAAGATACTGCTTTCAAAAACATTAAAAAAACTTACTGACCCGAAACTTTTGAATGGTTGTATATAGCTACAAAAAACAACAACAACACCAAAGCTAACATGATTTTACACAACCAAATATCCATACAAGACCTTTGCAATGATGATGGACTGATAGATTCCCAGGGGGAGAGTGATGGCGGTACGCAGGGCCAGCGTCGTGCACATGATGCTGGCCCACCACGGCAGTCCTGTCATCTGTTGAGCGGACACGAGGAGCTGCTCTGTGAGGTATACGGGAGTAGAGTCTGCAACGCTCTCATACCAGCTCAGTCGGTCTGTGGTAATAGTTCTTCTGGGCTGAAGCCCCACGGTCAGTGTGATGGACGCATGGCCAGCTAAGAGGGGTGAACTGCAGCAGAGAGGTCGGATGCTGTGAGTCCTGGAGTCCAGATAGGAGGATCTGTGAGATATGCTTCTGATGTGAGGCCTCAGTTTTGCTAGGCTTCCATAGTGACATATCCGTACAGTCACAAAGGTCATCGACCTGGTAAACTTCGTCCATATCATTATGGATGAACCTCTGAAGAAAAAAGAAAAAAACAGTGAAGGATCAAGGAAGTGTCTCAGCAATGTCTGCACACAAAAGCAAAATCCTTTTTTCCAGTTTTGCAGACATTAGTGATCCAGCTATTCTAAGCCACATATCCTGTTTTTTTTTTGTTTTTTTTTTGCAGAAAACATCCTGATTTTGTTTTTGCATGTCTAGAACTAAAGCAATTGTTGTAAGCATGGCATATGCACACCGTGGCATAATGATATTAACATGCAAGTAATTATTGCTCATTGGTTGTTTATGATTAAAGATTAGTTTTTTTTTGTGTCCTTTATTATTTTTATTGGATGACGTACATCATAATCTGCTATGTTTCATACACTTTACCTCTCTTTTGCTCTTGACACACAAATCAAATGCCATGTATGATACATTTAATATTTTATGTTATGGATATTCTGCAAATCTCTTTAAAATAACATTTTACTAAAACGAACTATTCGTATTATAATAAAACACAAAAATGGCTATTATTGTTCGAAATTATCAATTTAAAATGCCTATCGAACACTAATCAATAGTAATAATAAAAAAAAATCAGTCAAGATAACACCTTTAACCTGGTCAGGCTCTTACAGTAAAGTTAACTGGAAGAAACGTAACAAAATCTTCAAAAAATACCTTCGTTTGCGGTTGTTTATCACATCATTTGCGCGTTGAATGTGTATTGAAACATTTTATGTTTCCAAGTATATTTATCCTTTTCATCCGGAATGTCAAAATGAGCCAGGCACAAGTCGCTTGAATATGACGTCATGTATGTCGCGCGAAACATTTGCGTCACTGAATCGCTCCTTTTATATTTAAAATAAATCATTACGAACGTATGACAAGTATTACAAAATACAGAGTAGATTCAATGTATTCTAAAAGCGTATTTATTTATTTTTCTATAATTATGTACATTGTTGGAATCTCCTAAAGCACCTCAGCGCCATCTGTTGACAGCCACAGGTCAAACAGAGAAAGTGGCGTACATAGGGACAATACAGAGCCAAGTTCATTCATCATGTTAAGTTATTACAAAAGTTATTTACAAATGATTCCCGTTTCATCTGGATCTTTGTAACTACTCGTATTTGGATAATACGAATGCTTGTTATGTGAGGTATGTTGATCTTTGTATTGTTTATCTTGATACATATGTGTTGCTAGATTTTGTGACAACCGTTTCCTTCAAAAACAAAACACCCATGCTAAATCATACAGTAATTAATCAAACTTCATTTCACGGAATTGCTAGCATTATAAATAACTCTTCAGTATTCAGTATATATATTTAATCTTCAGGGTTAAACTGTTTGAAATATAGCAGACAAAATATAAACATTTAATGAAACCATTTGACAAAACATTTCAGACTGAGATGTTGTCTTTGCTCTTCTATGCAGAAATATGAGCACATATTAGCACGAAAATCTAAATGTCCAAAGATGGTGTTATTTTTAATTGTCCATTTTATCAATAAATGTTCAGTTTGAAACATTTTTGTGTAAAATTTACAGTACACTGCATAATGTATCTGCTCTAAATGTATAATACACAATGTATGTTACCACAGGAAAGGACAGGCCCTCTAAACTGCATTTGCCTGTGACATTGATAGTTTAATCCTGTACTTGGCCGGCAAAACAGGTCAAAGGTTAAAGGTCAGTCTAGTTGTGGGCCCCCCTAGCCCTGCGCTGCTGTGATGCCCTGCGTTGATTAATAAGCTTAGTGCTGGCACGCAGTTTCCGTATGCGCAGCTGGCGCAGTCGGAGCTGTAGGTCTTTGGGAATCTTGCCTCCCTTGGCTAGGATCTCTCTCAGACGCTGTTTTGGTGTCTTGGTGAGGTGGAAGTCACATATAGTTGGGTAATGCTCGTACTCGACCCTGCAACTTCGTGTAGCTGGGAAGTATCCCTCTGCGGTCACTGTGATATCATAGTCGCCTGGGTTCAACAGACGCCAGAAGTCCCCATCAAAAGCTGAAACAGGATAGGAGGACATTTTTAGCTCATTTTGTAGCTGCCTGAAAGTATTTGAATGATTGTTTTAATCATTCTGAATGGCATTAACGTTACCTGATCTTATGTGGTGGTCGATGTCATCTACTTTGATGATGGCATCAGCGATGCCGGCTTCAGTGTCTTTGTCCTTAACCACTCCTTTGATTCCTCTGTGCACCTGTCATATGGACAAATCAGTGTTTGCATTGCTTTTTCTGACACATTCAGGTGTTTAGACGTGGTTGCTGGCATTTTGTATGTAATATGTTGTACCTGTTCCATGTAGACAAGGAGAGATTCTTTATTGTTCTCCCATTCTATGGGCAGCTCACTGGCATGAGGGAACTTATCACAGGACAGCTCCACCGTCACCTCAAAACAGTTGGTGTGCAGGTAACTAAAGTCATTCATACCTACAGATGAAGACACAGGCAGAGTGATGCAATCAGGGTTAATATTCTCAGACACTACCGTTCAAAAGTTTGAAGTCTGTAAGATTTTTAAATGTTTCAGAGAAGTCTCTATGGATGTATGCTGCATTTATATTAACACAGTAAAAACAGTAATATTGTGAACGAACTATTATTACAAACTGAAGTAACTGTTTTCTGTTTTATTATATTTTAAAATCTGATTTATTCCTGTGATGCAAAGCTGAATTTTCAGCATCATTACTCCAGTCTTTAGTGACATATGATCCTTCAGAAATCTTTCTAATATGCTGATTTACGCCTCAAGATACATTTACTTATTTTTATCAATGTTGAAAAAAGGTGTGCTGCTTGATATTTTTTTTTAAACTGTGATGCCATTTTTTTTTTCAAGATTGTTTGAAAGTTCAAAAGAACAACATTTATCTGAAACCAATTATTTTATAACATTGTAAATGTCTTTACTGTCACTTTTGATGCATTTTAAGAAACCTTACTGACCCTAAACTTTTGGTAGTGTGTATTGGTTAAAAGTACATTTTGAACCCTGAATGTAATGGTAATGATAAAAAAAAATTATGAGGTGAAAAAGTGATATTACTATCTTTTCCTGGTGAGAGAAAATGAGGGAATTCAGATAGCTAGAGTAGAAAATATAGTATAATAATACATACATTCTGCAATAACTTGGCCTATATATATATATTTAGTACCTTTATTATATATAGATTATATATATATAGGAGAGAGTGGGTGTAACCCTCTCATAATAACACAGAAAACCTTTGATACAGGCCTCTTTTTTGCATATTTTACATATATTTTATCAGCAAAGATTGAGTTCCTTTATGATCTCAAAAGCAGCAGTACTTACTGCCTGGCACCGTATGCCAGTTTGCTCCGTTGATAATGTTATTGTAACGAAGGAAGTCCTCATTGTGACAGGGCCTTCGGTCTGGGTTGGACATCACATGGTTGGTGCTCGCATAAACCGTGGCCAGCCAGCGGAAGAAGCTTTCATCGGGGGTGGGAGTGTGCTCTCTGGGAGCCCAGTCTTTGGTCATATCAAACGGGTATGTGACCACCAGCTCTCCTCCATGGAGGTTAGCGCTGAGAACAAAAGGTATAGTTTGCATCCAACTGATGACGGCTCTCGTTTCTGGAGCCACCTTAAATATAAGATCAAAATAATGGTTTATTGAAAATCGTCTGAGAATGATAATTTGAAGCCATTTAAAGATGAGAGGGGTGCTTGTTTTAATCAGTGAGACCTCATACCATAGCATCTTCTGAAGTATAGTACTCTGGAATGGGAAAGTAGTGATTGATTAGTTTAGATTTGTCTGTTTCCAGCTCTATGGCATCCCACATCACTGTGTTCAGATCTGCAAAGTTTGGCCAGCCAGCGGAAGAAGCTTTCATCGGGGGTGGGAGTGTGCTCTCTGGGAGCCCAGTCTTTGGTCATATCAAACGGGTATGTGACCACCAGCTCTCCTCCATGGAGGTTAGCGCTGAGAACAAAAGGTATAGTTTGCATCCAACTGATGACGGCTCTTGTTTCTGGAGCCATTCATAGCCATCAGGGTTCATCGAGGGCAGGAGATGGATGCGTGTCTCTTTGACTAGGTGAACAATACGCTGATTTCCACGTTTGTACTCATGGCATATGTACTCCATCAGGTTGAGCAGTAGTTCCCTGCCGAGCACTTCGTTCCCATGCATACCGGCCACATAGCGAAACTCAGGTTCACCTGCAGGGGGAGCCAAAATGCCTTTAGATTGTCATGCTCTTTCAAAGAAGTGAGTCTGGAAAACCCCTAAAACAACAACGCTCTTAAAAATTAAGGTTCCAAAAGGTGGTTTTTGCAGCGATGAACCATTTTTGGTTCCCCAAAGAACCTTTCTGTAAACAGTTCTTAAAAGAGTCACTTTTTTTTAGTGTGAAGACTATTTAATGATCTAAATATAATTTTTCCACTATAAAGAACCTTTTGTGCAATAGAAAGGTGCTGTGGATGTTAAAGGTTATTCATGGAACCATAGAAGCCAATATAGAATTTATTTTGAAGAGAGAAGGATCTAAATTGCATGAAGCGTACAAAGCAAAAAGGATAATATAATAGGAGTGTAACGGCACATAAACATGACGGTTCGGTATAGTTTTGGTACAGCAGGGCGAAAAATAAGTAAGTAAATAAATAAATAAATAAATATATTAAACAGTTGTTTGCTGAACAAATTGCTCTTTCTTTAAATACATTCAATTATAATGAAAACTTTCTTAGGGATAAAAATCTACCTCAGCTTATGCTCTAAACTATAATGAGCCCGTTTATATTACTATAAGGTTACAATTAACAACAGAGCACAAACTGAAATTTAATTACTATTTATTTTTAAATATAATAATTAACACTCAAATTTTTTTACACAAACATGTAAATTGCACATAATGCAGTTTTTAAATTAGCATTTAAATTATAAAATTTGCTTTTGTTGTTGAAATACACAGTGGCTGCCATAACTTGTTTCATAACAGATTTATTTAAACATACATTAAATAAGACATCACTAACAGGTAAAGTAAAATATAATAAGTATATAGTCTTAATATTTCACGAAATGCTCTTCTCTTGACTAGATTGATGACTTGCCTGAGGTAAATGAAATGCTTTTGTTAAACATTGCTTACAAGCTGTTTTATTGACGTCTTTCCACGGTTGAAACACTGATTGAGCGATTACATGAGGCATGGGATGTTCATTCATGTTTATTTCGCGTTAAGACTATTAGTAAAGAGGAAGCAATGATTGCGCTCACTTGCACTCTGCACTGCCGTTTGAACTGAGGCGTTTATACAGCGATCATTTATTGTTTGAATTTCCTGAAAAAATGGACATAATTTGAAAGACAAGACTTTGTTTCTGATAAGAAGTAACAATATATAAAACTGGAAGTTTCTAATTAAAGGGGTCATATGATGCAATTTCAATTTTTCCATTCTCTTTGGAGTGTTACAAGCTCTTGGTGCATAAAGAAGATCTGTAAAGTAGCAAAGACTAAAGTCTCAAATCCAAAGAGATATTCTTTATAAAAGTTAAGAGTCAACCACGCTTATCTAAAACGGCTTGTTCTAACACACCCCCACATGTCTACATCACGATGTGGGAAGATTTGCATAACACCGCCCAAATGTTCACACAAAGAAAGAAGGAGTAACTTTTATTCTCGCTGTAGTATTGATGCCGCTGCCGTCGCCATGCCGTGGAGACGCTGTGTTTCGTTGTGAAAGCGAACCTACTTTGTTTGGCCTCAGAAAGGCGGGGCATAGAGGAGAAACAATAATGTACAGTATGTGGAAAATAATGTGTTTTTTGAACCTTAAACCGCATAAACACATTTCATTACACCAAATACACCAAATAATGTTCTTTTTAGCAACATCATAAGTTCCACTCAGTGGTTTAAACAATGCTGTATTTGTTCGGTACACATGTGTACCGAACCGAAAGACCCATACTAGGGCTGCACGATAAATCGCATGTGATATTTAATGCGCATCTTGTCAGAAAGCCTAACCCATACCAAAACGTTTTGGTACGAATACGTGTGCTGTTACACCCCTATGATATACCTATCAGACAGGCTAGGAAATACTCTCCTGTATAGAGTGCAGCAGTGTGGGATTTTTATTTCCAGTGTTCTGTAAGTAGAAACTGAATATGAAAGGACTGTTTATGTGTTGAGAAAAAGCGGTTAATCCAATAATGATGTTTAGGTATGTTATTTGGCCTCAGACGTGATGCATGTGGCTTGTAATACTAGAACACATAAATGGACTTTCATACTCTTTTCATTTCATGAACACAGCTGACATAAAGCTAATCTATTTCCAAAGAGGCCATAACTTGTGGAGTCTTGTAGGCTGGCATTTTTCCACTGTGCCTGGTATTTCTCACATTAATTTATTATTATTATTCACATCAAATTTCCTCCTAAACAGAATTGCCACATGCTTTGATCCACTTGTGAAATGCTCTATGATTTTCTAACACACTGGGTGAGGTTATTTCTTCCCACTTTCATTCTCTAGACACTTTCTGAGGCCTGCTGCCATGGCTTTCTGCGATTGCATCCCTGGCTCCAGCTTGCATTATGAGTGCTGGCAGGAGATGAGAAAACCACTGCCAGAGCTGGCAACCTTTCTCACCGAGAAACCAATCTCTAACCCACAGGCCAATGTAAACACTAGAGTTGCCCAGTGTAAACGGACAGATCAGAGTGAATGAGAGCGAGAGAGAGAGAGAGAGGGGCAGAGGGTTTTTGGGCTGTGTTCCAATTGCTCTCATTCCAGCATAAAAACTGATAACTGAACTCACATGGAATTTGTGCCAGAAAACTCCACAGAATTTGAACTCAAGTTATTTACAAAATTCTACATACCCTTGGTCCTTATGTTTCTTTAGTTTAACACAATTTACCCTGTTTGAATTTCAGAGTTCCACACATTTTCTCTCCTAAATCTGCATTGAAAATTCAAAGGTCTGCATATTCTGCCTGGTTATCTTTAGGCACAGAGATTTGCCACATCAATATCCTATAGCTTGGCCTTAAATTTACTAACAGATTTACTGAGTGTTTATACACTGAACAAAATTATAAACGCAACACTTTTATTTTTGCCCCCATTTTTCATGAGCTGAACTCAAAGATCTAAGACTTTTTCTATGTACACAAAAGGCCTATTTCTCTCAAATATTGTTCACAAATCTGTCTAAATCTGTGTTAGTGAGCACTTCTCCTTTGCCGAGATATAGAACCTTTTGAAGCACCTTTATTTTTAAGAGTGTATGCGAAGGAGATGTGTTGCACTGCGTGAGGCAAATGGTGGTCACACCAGATACTAACTGGTTTTCGGGGGGTCCGGACCCCCCAATACCCGATACATTGGGGGATACCCCCCCGGACCCCCCAATACAGTAAAACTGCACATTTTAGAGTGAGTAAGACTCTGTGTATTATTCAAACACATGATGAAAGTGAGCTAAAGAAACACTTTTTGGGCTAAAATTGTGCTTGCATAAATTTATATTGGTCAGGTTTTTGCATGATTACACAGAATATAGTTAGTGGTAGATTAACTAGTGTTGGGACTCAGACTCACCCAGTTCATGTTTGCCTGGATTGTCTGAGATTTCCATTACATACAGTTTAAGGCCCATGTAGCTTTTGCCAATGCTGTAAATGTGGGTGATATCAGGACACATCTCATTCACAGACTTCATGAGCTGAAAGACAAATGATTATGCATTAGCTTATTCTTACTTAATGTACTCTAAGGACACATCACATTAAAATGCCAGTAAAAGTGACAAAAGTGAATTGATCAAACATGGTTTCCTTAAAAAATGAAGCAACACAAGTGTTTTATAATAATGAGATGATAATAATAAGAAATGCTTTTTGAGCAGCATATCATAATGATAATTTACATTTCGAACTATATTAAAATAGAAAACACTTACATTCAATTGTAACAGTTTTCCACAATATTACTGTTTTAAGTGTATTTTTGATTAAATAAAAGCAGCCTCGGTAAGCATAAGAAATTTATTTAAAACACTTTAAAAAATCATACTGACCCCAAACTTTTGGACAGTAGTGTATGACAAAGCGCATATTTTCCTTCAGATCAGTGAACATGGAGAATATACTAAAACATTCCTTGCATTTATCTTTCTGTGTGTATATAAATGTGTTTTTTGTTACCTGCCCGCAGGGTTGTGTTAATGTAGACACTGTTGCATAATAGTAGTCAGACTGACCACAAGTGATCCGCAAGGCAGTGCTCACATCCTGACGTGACAATCTGGAAAAATTTTTGTTTTCTCGCCAGGGCTGGTTATAAGATCATGCGGCCTGACTGAAAGACCAGCTCTATCAATCTGAAGTGCTCTGCAATTGCATGTAGGGCTGCTGGCTTTAAGTAGCAATTGTTTTTTTTATGATTCACAGTATTTATTTATCTTCAATAAGCAAATCAATTTACTCCATTACACTTTGGAATTCTACAGAGCCTGATATATCATTTTTAATCTGCAATATCTCAGTGGGTTTCACCATTTCATATTGACTAAGCACCAACAAAACAAGGTCAGAAAATGTTCCGTCTTTCTCACCTTCCTCATCTCTTTGTAGTTATGATGTCTGAAGTCCAGTTTGTCATTGGTGCCTTCCTCAGCTTGCCATGGGTAGATATTGTTTGGATCTTAAAACACAATGCACAATTCACTAATATTACTATGCCCACATTTAATTCACAGTAGTATATTGTTACTTATGTACTTATCAATTTAATACATTTGAATAATGCGTTGTTTTCCTTAGACCTGTGATCTCCATGATATGTCAAAGAAAGATCTTCCATATGTGAGATGAATGAAAGGTTTGTGTTTGGCATACCTGGCAGCGCACAGCCCATAATTTCAGCTCTCAGACAGATGGTCCCATTCTTAAACCAGGTCTGAGGGTTAATGCGTATGTATTGTGCCACCGCCGGCTTGGGCAAAATGGCCAAGACTGGCGTTTCGCTGTCCTTGTTCCCCTCAAACACCTGTTAGCATACAAGATCACTTCTGGTGAGTGATCCTATTGATACGATCCAAATGACATTTGCCAGTGGCAGCTGGCACTGCACCTCATTCTAGTCTATGCCCAAAGGAGGGCACACGAGAGACTGGCACAGCGCAGTCCGCAGTGGGCAGGCTATTTTTTTCAAAAGAGCCGCTTAACCCTGCCAACTACTGCCAGCTCCTGCCTCCAACCTCTGTTAGTACAAACCACCCTGTGCCAGCTGGAAACACTGAATGGATATAATGATGTCACAAAGATACTGAGGCTAATATATACCAGCAGCAGTCAATGGCACAACCTACTGTCTGGAAAACGGGGCTTATTTTAGATTAACTCTGTTAAATGAAAGGAAAACTGTAATTCAGCCTCAAAATTATGCTTAATAGGGTCATATAATGAGAAATACTGTTGTTTCTAATACTGTCGTCTTTTCAAAAAAAAATATTTTTTTGACAAAATAGTCTTCTACACTGTAAAAAGTGGCGAGAAAAAAAAAGCGATTTCTACATGATTTTACTTTAAAAAATGTATTATGTTGGTATAAAATACTGCATTTAGGTTGACTCTGTGATATTAAATAGCATATTTGACTTGAATAAAACTAGTTAATTTAGATGTTACTATTTTTCACTGTATGAAAATACTGTAAGTCTCAGAACTCAAAATGTTTAAGTGCAATTTTTTATTTAAAAAAAAAATTGAAACCAAGTTGCAAAAATGGCAACTTTCTGACATCATATTTATTTAAATGTTTTCACTTGGGTATATATACTACTGGTTAAAAAAATTAAAAGTAACAATTAAGATTTTGGAAGATTTCTGAAGACTGGAGAAGGGCTGTTGACAATTCAACTTTGCATCACAGGAATAAATTACATTTTAAAATATATTAAAATAGAAAACAGTTAAATATGACTAAATTTGAATAATATTTCACAATATTACTGTTTTACTGTATTTTTCATCAAATAAAGCATTGGTGAGATCTCTTTCAAAAACATAAAAAAATCTTTATTATTTCACAACTTTACTGGTAGTGTAGAAAGTATAAAAAAGACAATTTATTTTTACACTTGATAACAGAGACCAACATACCGCCTCTTCTGTTCCATTCATGCATGGCTTCCATTTAATGGTGTCATTGCTAACTTGAACCTTGAAGGTTTCTACATAGTCCAAGCTGCAGAATAAAAGTGGCATATTGTTATTATTAGAATTTACTATTTCTTTTAATTATGGCTGTGACCGGTGAGTGGCGCAGGTGTCGTGCATTAGCATTTACTCCACCGGCCTCGCTCCGTTTCCACGGCTCTCGGCCCCGCGACCCTCTCGTCACAATGGCATTGCAAAGAAATATATTATGACATGAAGTACCTCCATATAGAGCTGCGACCCTGTAGTATCACTGCTGTGAACCGTGTGAGCTTCTTGGCATCTATCTGTAACCACTGGTTCTGGTCTTTATACTGGGCGCACCAAGCTCCATCATAGATATCGCCATCCTCCACACCAGACTGCAAAAACAAAACAAAAAAAACAATGAAACGGTGGTCCATGTTAATCTGAAAACCACAAATTGGCAAATATGCTGATGATAATGGATACTATATTTATGGTGACATCTACACTGAAACATTGAAAAGAACAGCATTTATTTGAAATAGAAATCTTAACATTATAAATGTATTTATTGTCACTTTTGATCAATTTAATGTGTACCTGACTCATTGCTAAATAAAATGATTAATTTCTTTCAAAAATTACTGACTTCCTGACCCTAAACTTTATAGGACGTTAGTGTGTATGTATGTGTGGCCCACCTGTATGTTGAGTCGGCCCCTGTGTGGCCCCAGGCCCATACGCTTGTAAGAAGAGGCCTGAATCTGCAAGTCTTTAACTTTCAGAGACTCCAGACCCAAAGGAGGACACTCTGAGAAAGCAAAAGAGATTATTTATAGTGGAGGAGGGAAATAGAGAAAAAAGAAACATTGTGTGCTCCTTAGATGTTTGAGCCAAGTGGATTTTGTATGCTATTACTAAAAGAACTGTTTAGTAATCAGTGCATAAGATTTTACATTCGGTGCAGCTGCAGGACAGACAAGAAACTGTTGTTTGAGGAGTCCAGCGTGGCCCATCCGCTTTTCAAATACTTTCTCCCTTCTCTACCAGGCTGTTTTGTAGTGTGTCTTTTGTAGTGTTCCTATATGTTTTTGAAGCCTTTAGGATCCATTCTGGAAACACTGATACCACTATGTGGAAAAAGTCCAATTCACTATTGCTGGAACACCCAAATGTTTTCTGTCAGCTGAACCCATTTGACCTAAAATAGTTACTTGAAGTGAAGTGAATATTTCAATAATTTAACAACACATTCACATATTCACATTTTTCTGATGTCAGTTAATGGTTGCATGATATGCAGATAAACAAAACATTTTATCTTTCATTTGATTTGGATTTGTCTTTGTTTTTAATTTTACATTTTGTATGATTTAGCTTTTCATTAGCTAAGCTATCTATTACAGTTCCCTCACAAACCTGCAAACCCCAGTTTCCTAAAACCTGCACAATTGGGGAAACTCGTACCTCTGAGTTGGGAGTTCATTATAACAACATGAATGTCACACATTTAAGTCGGCAAAATAACATGGAAGTAGCCTAAATAAAACATATTATATTATATATTATATTATGAACAATAAACCTAAATAACTACATATAAATTCAAAATGATGAACAATATATATTTCTGTAACTTATACATGATATCACAACTACATGTAAAGCAAACTATATTAGTTGAGTGATTAACACCATTTGCAGACTTTCACTAGATCATAATAACTGTCTTGTAAACAAAACCCTGTTCAAAAGCAATAATGACTCATTGCATGTGATGCACCACATCCTGCCAGAATGTTTAGTTTATAGTATTTATTATAAATATACTTCAGTATACAAGTGCCTTAACACACAGATAAAAATCAGTTACAGTATGCATGGTATAATCTTTCATGCTCCAGATCCTGCTCACTTTAAATATTTTCCACATGCATTAACTGCTGCTGGTGGGGGCTTCATGCTCTTTTAAGGCAAGTTTAAGTAAAGATTTTAGGTTTCTCTTTACTTACTTACTTTACTACTGACCTCCCAGTTAAACTTGTGAACGTATTAATGAGCAAAAAGCTTGCTTAATATTTCCAGAAATGTCTTGTTTGTTACTGGTTAGGATTATTGTAGCTGATTGAGCATGTTGCATTTGAACTTTTGTACTGTATGGACATCATGTAAAAGTGATGAGACTCTGATGAGACTTTCAGTGAGAAACAAGCACATCGGGTTCTTGTGGGCGAGTCAGTCGGATGGTTTGCGGAGTCAGCATTCCTCACCAATTCATCTGAAAATGGGGAGATTTCCTGGCACTGCTGATGTTTAGATGACCCAATTACTTTGACCAGGGCTATTGTCTTGCTGTCCTTTAAACTGTTATATGGTTCAAGTTGATAGACAGCAGGGCTGTGAGATGGTTCTTTGTCTCTGTCCTCATCATAATGAAGACTTCAACTAGCTTTATAATCCTAGCAAATGTTATGTACATGTCCTTATTTTAGTTAACTTTGTTACAAGATACATGACGGAAAGACGGAAAGTAAGATTTTCCCATAATTCTGACCATAGAGAATTCCAGCAGTTGAATATAATCTATGGAAAATCATGCTTTTCAGCTCTATGGTTTGTTTGGTTAGTGGAGAAAACTAGTTCACCGATGTGTGAACCCATTGCCTTTTGAAACAGGAAGAGGACTATTTTGTGCAGTGTTTGAATATGGCTGGAATTATGTAACAACACTTGCTTGCATTTTTATGAACTAATAACCTGGGAGGATTTTTTTTCAGCATGGATGGATGGACAGATGATGCATGCATAAATATATAAATGGATGTAAGTACGGATAGATACATGTAGATAGATGTTATATGAATACAATTATGTTACATTAATAGCATTATTATCAAAACCTGTGCTTCTTCACTTTGTCTTGTCTTCCAAACTTTCCATTCCACTTTTAAAACTTATGTATTTGTATATTGATAGAATTCTAATTGCCCATTTTATTGCAGTAATAAAAAATAAAAAAAATCAATTGCATTAACAATGTAATGCAATTGTAATTGTATAAATATTATCATTATAAAGTAATAGTTTCTTTTTTAGAATATTTTATTTAAAAGTATAATTTTATCCGTGGCTAAACATTCATTTCCAAAAGTGGAAACATAAGTGTCACTTTTACTTACCAAATACCGGTGGTTCTTCACTTTTTTTGTTCCAAACTCTCCGTTCCACGTTTTTATCAATGTTCTCATTCAGGTCCTCTGTGTTGAAGCGCACTGGGGTGGTCGTCGTTTTTGTGGATGGTAGTGTTGGCTTCACTGTTGTTGGTTTCAAGGCTTTTGTGCTCACCTCAGTCCATTTCACAGTGGGCTTCAGAGTTTTTGTGGTACCCTTAGTTGACTCGAATGGCTTCACTGTTGTGCGTTTGGGAGCTCTGGTGGCCGGAGTGGGTTTAAATGGCGTGTCTCTCAGAGGTTTGGTGCTTCCCTCAGTGGGTTTCAGAGCTCTGGTGGTCGCCTCAGTGGGTTTGACCGTCTTGGAGAATCTGCTTACCTTAGTAGGTGAGATGTTTCCATAAGCTCTGGTGGTCCTGTGTTTAATACGGGCTATCCCGCTTCCAGTTACAGATGATGCTTGAGTGTAATTTAAATTATATGATGCAGTTGTAGCAGATTTTTTAAGAGAAGGCGAAGTAGTTACTCCTCCAACTAAAACAACAATAAAAGTTAGCAAAGATAAAAGTAAAACGGTTGGTGCCATGGTTCCCTCTCAGCCCAGATATGTTGCTCTATCTGAACACATAAACCCCGTAATGTTGCAAAATCACGCGCCACTAGTGATGCAAAGCAAATGTGAGACCATATTACTGTGAATAGAGGGAGAGAGTTTGAGGGGAAAATGTGTGCCATACACTTTTCTTTGCACATTTCTCATTTTTCTTCTTGGGTTTTCTCTTTCTGTGTTTTTGTTAAAAATATAGTACTTTGAGCATCATGATATTATATATCGTTTTTACGGTATTACTTGTGCCTTTCGAATTATTTTTCCACTCAAAAAAAGTTTAATATTTATAGTCCCAATTAATGGGATTAGTGCACCATCTAGTGGCGATGACAGGCCAGACTTTTTAAAAATAACTGGAATAGTTGATTAACAATGGGGAAAACTCATGCGATTTGTTGTTTAAGACCTGTTAGGTATATATATATATATATATATTAAGTGCTATTATCTAACATAGAATTAATCGAGTATATTTAAGGTACAACATATGTCTGTTTAAATATTTGCTCAAATCCTGCTTAAATGGTCGTTTTGGCCTGTACTAACTCCAGTGCCGGTGTCAAGTGCAGGCTTTCTAGCATTAAAGGGGTCATATGATGCGATTTCAATTTTTTCTTTCTCTCTGGAGTGTTACAAGCTCTTGGTGCATAAAGAAGATCTGTAAAGTTGCAAAGACTAAAGTCTCAAATCCAAAGAGATATTCTTTATAAAAGTTAAGAGTCAACCACGCCTACCTAAAACGGCTGGTTCTAACACGCCCCCACATGTCTACGTCACTATGTGGGAAGATTTGCATAACGCCGCCCAAATGTTCACACAAAGAAACTACTATAGTAACGATTTAGAACAGTCCTTTTCACAGTCACATTTTAATTTACATTTGACAGTGACACACAGACTTCCTGCGCAACTACGAATGCAGCTCTACTGAGTAAGCTAAAGGTATGATGAAATATATATATTTTTAATGTTAAATAGAGGGCTAGTTGATCGTAGTTCGTTGATTATTTCTCTGTTATTGTGTTGTTGTTACCAACCTCCTGACTTTCTTGGCTGTATTCAACAAAATCACATTGTCAAAATTAATGACAGAATCCGCTGAATTATTATTCAGTTTATTCTAGTAACTATTTTTAATCAGCTAATTTTAATTACCAACAACATAGTATGTGGCTGCGTCCAACATTTTGCATGCCACCTTGTTAAAGAGTGATTTTACATAATTTTAAAACATTCGTGACATCAAAGAAGTAACATCACTTGAATCCTTTTTGTAGCATGGAGGGAATTAAATGACTTGAAAAATTCCATTCTCTCACATTTCGACAGTGTTGGCTACTTGATTTCATTTTAATATCAATTTAATTTTGATATTTTGCTGCAAACCCCCATATGGAAACTTCTAGAAAATTCATTGTCAGGAATGAGAACAGTGTCGTCGGGTGTGTGTGCGTGTGCGTGTGTTTATCATGAGTATAACAATGAAAAGCAAATCCAAATCCAAATTTGAATCCACACTTATCATTTGTTAATAACAACATTCCACTAGATGGCGACAAAACACTGTGTATTTTTTAATGTGACAATATGATAGCATATAGAAGTTTGAGCGTTTAAAACACGAGGACTCGTATGTGGAAGGGTTCATTATTAGTAGTAGTAGATTTTTGGGCAAAACTAAATAAAACGCTCAGACAGTTCTGATCAAATAAATAAGATATTGTTTATGCGTGGAAAGATGGACTTGAAATGCTGGTTATTTGCACTGCTGACTGTCTTTCATGTCCAATCTGAGCTCCTGTTGAGCTTTACTATAGTAACGAGGTTAGAGACCCCATCACCATCAATTATTAATGCATTACGCACTTCAATAAACTTCATACAACCATTTCAGAAATGTGAAAAACAGACAAACAATTCTGAGCATTTAAAGCGGTTTATCATTTTATGTTCAATAAATTATTGAATGAGTGGTGTTTTCTTCTTCTTTTCGTTCTTAAGTAATGCTTGGTCTAGTTTCCCTTTCTCATATAAATATTTCAGAGGTCTTTTGACATCATAAATTAGTTTAGTGACATTATGCATTGAATGTTAATGCAGGTAGCCTAAACCTCAGGTGATGGAAATGTATGTATTATTTGATTATTTATATGATTTAATGGTGCTTGTAAGTCTGTCTAATTTTGAACGCATTTATTAGTGTCTGCATAAGAACAAAGCTAAGCGAAGGAAACTTAATATTTGAGATCTTTGTGCTGGAGGGTGTAGTTTCCTGAAAAATTCAATTTATTCCTTTCTTTCTCCCCCCTCTCTTTCTCTCTCTAACACAGGGGTGCCCAAACTCTGTCCTGGAGGGCAGGTGTCCTGCAGAGTTTAGCTCAAACTTGCCTCAACACACCTGCTGGTAAGTTTCTAGTATGCCTAGTAAGAGCTTGATTAGCTGGTTCAGGTGTGTTTAATTGGGGTTGGAGCTAAACTCTGCAGGACACCGGCCCTCCAGGACCAAGTTTGGGCACCCCTGCTCTAACACATGCACACACCGGATGCGAGAAAAAAACATGGAGTTTGCATGGAAATTCCTTTCCTCAACCTGTCAGTTTCTCCCAGCACCACCTACAGTGAGGAGTGAAATGTCAACGTTTAATAGGAAACTTAACACTGCGAAATATTCATAACCTGCTCTACTTATGTGCTATATAGAGACTGTTGCGCTGTTATGTTGACTGTATAGGTGTTAACATGACTTTATTGTACACTGTCTGGGGTCATCTTTACTGGAGTACTAAGTGACTACTAACTATGCATGTCAAACCATAAGTGAATAATTTGTCAGGTGGCTGATGCTGTCATGTAGCATATGAAATTGGTGGGACTGGTGCTAGGAACTGCAATGAAACTAGAAGAAAACATGCTTATTGCTCCCAGCGGTCTGCTTGGGCATAATAGTTGTTATGATTATAGCTTTATAAATTGAGTTACCAATTAGACTTCGATTGTACAGATCAATTAAATATAGCCTCCTGATTTTATATCAGATTGTAAACAAGTTTTGGGGTCTAAGCAATTATTTAGAGCTCCTTTTTTGTATATAAACAAATTGTAAAATATTATGTTCATGTATATATTCTTACAAATGTATATATGGCAAGGAAAAAGACATCAGGTGTTCAAATTATTTATTATTTATTATTGAATAATTTATTTAAAAAAATGAATGGAGAAATAAATAATATATAGATAGATAGATTCTTTCATACATGTAAAATTACTTAATAAAATTACTTAAATTATTAAATAATAATAGTTAAATAAAAATTATTAAAATTACTTGATAGAATAGGCACATATACATTAAATATAAAATGTTTTAATATATATCAGCTTTAATATATATCAGTTTAAAATAAGTATGTATATATATATATATATATATGTGTGTGTGTGTGTGTGTGTCTGTGTGTGTGTGTGTGTGTCTTTGTTTACAATATGTTATGTAATATATTTAGAATATAGAATTAGATTTAGTCTTTCTGTCATCCACTATACTCACACACACACAAATATATAATTTTCAAAATTATGTCTGGTTCCGTACATTCTTCAGCTGGTCTGTTTTGTAAATTCTGAAGTCATGTGAGTTTCATTAGGAGCAGGTCTAAGTAGTGTGTGTGTGTGTCCTGTACAGTGACCCAGCAGCAGTGCTATGAGAGCTAGCAGCATGCCGCTCCTTTAATGACCTATGAGAGCTGTGAACCCAGGCCATACACGGGGAACCTGAGAACCTGCTGAGCAACTTCTGTTGATCTAAGCCAGGTGAGGGGCCCAGACTTCTGCGAGACAGAGAGAGAGAGAGAGAGAGAGCTGGGGACAAGACTTTGAGTGTGTGTGTGTATGGGGAGTTTTATGGCACGATTGTTGTTTGAATTATTGATAGCTTGGTATGCTACTCTCTAATCAGTTCTTGTACATTTCATGATTCACTATATGTGGGTTTGTTTCCCAAAGACGTCCTATTAATTTCTGTGTGCTTAATGTTTCTAAACATAGTTACGTGTGAATGGAAAATTCAGTTTTGTCTAATAAAACTACACACTGCAGATAAAGAGAGATTTTAAGGTAACACACTGACTCTGTGCTCTCGTTTTAAGCTCACTCAAATAAACCACAATATCGCTCATACAGCAGGTGAGCTGCATCAATTCACAGGAGTCCGTCATAGACCTCCACAGCCTGAGAAACTTAACCTCCTGATGAAAACGGCAATGTCCTGACCTAAAACCAGAGATGTGAACAACAGCAAATAAAACACAGGATATACTCGGTGAGTAAAGTTCCTTCAGATGTTTCTTTCATGTTCTTGTACAGCTTGATTTTTTTTTTTCGAGCTCCACTCGGTGTGTCCTCTCATTACCACGGTGTACTACCTGAACGCTACAGGACTTCAGAATTATAAATATTCATTCTTCCCCTCACCCGAAAATCTAACAGCATGCTATACCTCACTGCTCAATTATTGATTTCCAGCAGGCTTATAAAAGTATCGAAACTCTGGATTGTTCAGAAGAATTTGGAGAACAACTGGTGAGTAAATTCTATAAAATGTCTTGTAATATAATTAAAATGTTTATTCATTATGAATTACTTTCCATAATTTACATTAGTTATTTAAAATGTTTTTATTATAACAGTTCTATAATATTAATAATCTAATATTTTAATTCAACTTTTTAATGTTGTTTTATGTATTGATTTATATAGATAGATAGATAGATATATATTTCTCAGATAAAATAATGCAGGATTGTGCATGTGTGGATTTATGCTAATTTGATATTTGGTGTAATTCCCATGTAAAGCATTTGAAGTAAAATCTTGCTAGATTTTGTATTGCATAATCGAGATTAATAGGGAAAATACATCTGGTGTGTTTTAGTGAAACGGAAACTGTGATCAGCAGGTGGCAAAAACTTCCCAAGACATCCCGTTATAGCATCAACATGCTGCAGTTTCGGCTTTGAGAATTAAAAAGTTGTATTCTTATATCTAGCAGAGCTTTTCTGCTAAATGTCAGTCATGTATGTGTAAAAATCCACAAGAAACAAAGTTTATCCTTCCATAAAACTTTCCTCCCTTGACTTCCACTGATTCATCCGAAAAGAATACGTGGATGAAACCCCCTCCCAAGACATTCCCTCTTCCATGAACAATAAATGTGGAAGTGTCATGTAATATTGATGGGCTCAGCTGATGATCTCCTGACGACCCCAGTTTGGTCCCTCTCATGTTCTATAAAATATTCATGATCCTTGTCCCCTTCCTGCACCCGCCCCCTCAGCATCCCATAATGCATGTGTGATGTTCTGCTGGGCCGCTCGCACAAAAACACACACCTAGCTGCAGGAGCAAAGAATGATGGGATATATACGCATGATCTCCTGTGGTGAAACCAGCTCTGAGTTTTTCTAAACTTAAAAAACAACACAGGTTTTCCCTGATTTCAGTTCCAAGTCTGGAAATTTTTCCTCCATTGTACACCTGACGTTCCCCACCCCTGCACTTTGAGTAATCTCACGACTATCATTAATGTCATTCAACTTTTCTTCTTCTCCTCCTCCTACTCTCCCTCTACCTGTTCACCTGCATCTGTTCTTTTGTCATTTTTATCAATGCGTCCTTCTTTTCCTCCTCCCTTGCGTTCTTCTATCCGTCATTCTCATTAACACCCTGGCCCTGATAGATGTAAGTGGCCTACTGCTGCTTAAGAGGCTCTCCCGGGTGTCCCGTGCAACCCTGGCACCCTGTGTTCCTCTCCTTAGACCCGGACCTGTGCCATCTGCCTCTGTCACTGTCACCGCTGGGCACTGGGAGTCAGTGTGCATGAGGCAGCCCTCTTCTGCTGCAAGAAATCAACACACGCTGCGGCTTTTCAGCCGGTAGGTATACTGGAAGTTTACTTTTATGTGGCAAAGTTTATTAAACAATATTAAGTTTAAACTGGAGAGGCATGAATTTAAATATTTTTTGTTGTCTCTTTGGTGTGTCTTTTTGTGCAGTTTAGTCCATACTGTATTGTGCTTTTTTTCGTTCTGTATACTGTGATTGTTTCATTTGCTAATATATGTAAATATACACTATCGTTTGAAAGTTCGGGGTCAGCAAGATTTTTTAAAAATAAAAAATAATACTTTTATTCAGTGATGATGCATTAAATTGACCAAAAGTGACACTAAAGACTTTTGCATTGTTATGAAAGATTTGTTTCAAATAAATGCTGTTATTTTGAACTTTCTTTTTTTACCCCAATATTTTCTTTGAGTTTTTTTTTTCACATTACAATTATAATCAATACCCTTCCCTCCCCCCAAAAAAGAAAACACGTCATAAAAAAAAAAAAAAAACTATGGGCCATATAATCTTGAGTCAACTATAACTATAACTATAGGCCATATAATCTTGAGTCAAAAAACATTCCAGAATTGACAGTGAAGAAATAAAGTGTCCCATGTTTATTCAGTCCATAAGTTTATTTCTATTCATCAAATAATTCTGAAGAAAAAATATCACAGTTTATACTAAAATATTAAGCAGCTCAAATTTTTCAACATTGATCATAAGAAATGTTTCTTGAACAGCAAATCAGCATATTAGAATGATTACATTTTAAAATATATTAACGTACAAAAAAGTGATTTTAAATATTTCATAATATTACTGTTTTACTGTATTTTTCATGAAATAAATGCAGGACTTCAAAAACATTAAAATATCGTTCTGCCCCCTAAATTTAAAAAAGAAGTGCACATTTATATATATCTAAATAATTTTAATATGTGAAAATGAACAATGTAAAACTGAATTTCCCCAGGCTTTCTAAACTAAATCTACCATTGGTCGGATGAACAAATAGCCACGCCCCCAACCCACACCGTTGGTTGAGCCAGTGTTGCTTTGTCGTGCTGTACAGAAAGCTAACATTTTGACAGCACCACAAATACTTTTCAGGTAAAACAACCTACAGATGGCTTACTTATAGTTGTCTTTGCATATTAAATTAGGACACAATAGGAAGTATTTTAACATTTAGCAGTAATAAATTATTAAAAACGGCTGTTGTGATACAAAAATATTTGTTTTTGTTCACAAATCGTACACAAAATGTGCGCCTTACTTTGAATGTTTGTCTGGCATGGAAAATGTAATTAACAAACCATGTTTGTGCCAACTTGAGCAGGCAATATGCTGTTTACCTAAACCACTATCTGAGCAGAGAAAACAATGCCTCCCTCCCACCGCCCCCCACCTCTCTTTGTCCAGATGGAAATGATTTTTTTTTTGTAAGGCTTTCTAATCCCTTTCTTTCCTGGGCTATTTTCCACCGCATTGTGATAGGAAACTTACGACGAGCCGAAGAGAAAGGCGCAGGGTTAAGGCCAAGTCTTGTCATCGGGAAACAATCCCTTCCTCTGGTTGTTAAATAAAACCTACGTGCATCCTTTTTTCTTCTTTTTTCTTTTTTGTATTTTTTGCTTGGTGTGTGACCCAGCGAAAGCCACTCGGCCTGGTGTATATGTATAATGAGCTTTTGTGCTCAATGGTTCTCCCTCACTTTCACATTAGTTCCTCTCAGCCAGTGTTGTGGAGAGCGCAGCACGGGGAAATGGACTGTGAGAACGCTAACCAGATGGCTTAGATCCCAAAACCCCAGGGGAGAGAGGCATAGTTCCGGACTAAGCTAAATCAGTGTACCTAGACTTCAACAGCAGATACACGTAATAAGGAAACTGTCTGAGCAAAATAATAAGGGATTGTAGTGGTTTAAGAGAATGTGTTTGGATTAAACAAATTGAGTTCAAGTACTCTGTGAAATGCAGTAACTAGCACTTTTTGAGTAATGACTGAAATCAGGTTTCTAAGACGAGGGATTTTCAAAATATGCTGTTTACCTAAACCACTATCTGAGCAGAGAAAACAAATATTTCTAGTTGAGAGAGGCGCTGAAAGTCCCACGGGGGCAGACTGGAGCTGTGTTCTCTCCAGCACCGCATCTCTGCACCTACCTCTGCTCGAGAGCGTTGGCAAACGCAGTCACCCAAGAAGGCGGGATACTTTTCCGTGTGGACGACAGGAGAGTGTGCGTTACCTGCCAGTGACTGTCGCGCAGCCAAAAGACGAAACCAGGATGGGGCAAATCAGACACATGCATGCAAGCAAACGTTCTATGCGCACTTGTGTCCACCCCGTTCCCAGCTTTCCCTACTTGCTGGCTGAGTCTAATTCAGTGTCATGTTCCGGGGAAGCCCAGATTGTGAACTAGCTTCTTCCCGGTGTGTTATTTATTTGGTGGGCAGTGAGTCGCTGTCTGCTTATTTACACCAGATTGCTTCTCCAGATGTTTTTTTGGGAAGAAATCCCCCACCCCTCCCAATGCCTCCATCCCACCGCCCTCCACCTCTCTTTGTCCAGATGGAAATGATTTTTGTTTTGTAAGGCTTTCTAATCCCTTTCTATCCTGGGCTATTTTCCACTGCATTGTGATAGGAAACTTACGACGAGCCGAAGAGAAAAGCGCAGGGTTAAGGCCAAGTCTTGTCATCGGTAAACAATCCCTTCCTCTGGTTGTTAAATAAAACTTACATGCATCTTTTTTTTTTTTTACTTAGTGTGTGACCCAGCGAAAGCTGCTCGGCCTGGTATAGATGTATAATGAGCTTTTGTGCTCAATGGTTCTCCCTCACTTTCACATTAGTTCCTCTCAGCCAGTGTTGTGGAGAGCGCATCACGGGGAAATGGACTGTGAGAACGCTAACCAGATGGCTTAGATCCCAAAACCCCAGGGGAGCGAGGCATAGTTCCGGACTAAGCTAAATCAGTGTACCTAGACTTCAACAGCAGATACACGTAATAAGGAAACTGTCTGAGCAAAATAATAAGGGATTGTGGTGGTTAAGAGAATGTATTTAAGTACTCTGTGAAATGCAGTAACTAGCACTTTTTGAGTAATGACTGAAATCAGGTTTCTAAGACGAGGGATTTTCAAACTTTCTGATGACATCACAGACTCCAAAATATGATCCTTCTTTTGTGAGGGACCCCTGTCTACAATATAAAGGCATTTATAAAGATCCTTTTTATACTGTTAAAAAAAAAATGCAGATTCTTATAAATGTGTACAATTTTTTTTTTTTTCTGTTTACTTTTACATTTTTACTTTCTATTGAGGTGACACTTTTATTTTTATGCACTACTAAAATAAACATTTTATTACTAATAATTTTTAAAATGATTTTCTTTTCATTATTTTATTATTTTTCATGATATCTGACCAGTGTTTGAAAACTAAATGAACAGCAATAATGTAAATTCAGTAAATTGTGTCTGTTTTATATATTGTGTCTGTTTAATAAAATATTATTATATAAAACAGTAATAGAAAAACACTACTATTATAATAAAATAGTTTTGTGTGTATATAATTTTAAATATATATTTATATATATAAATTTAATTTATATATAACTATTTTCTGAACTTTTACACAGTCTCTCTAGCACCCCTTGTGGACCCTCTTGAAAACCCGTTTTAGTCTGAGATCTTGACAAACCGGGTTTTGCTCCACTATGCTCAGATTCGGAGAAAACTAAGTTAATGAAAATATCAAAACAGAAAGAACATTTGTATACAATCAAGATACTCCAAAGACATTTCTTTCTGTTTCAGTGGTGGTTAATTTACTGTTTTGACTGTCTAGGGTAGTATAAGAGGTGAAATTATCCATTTTCATGCTCATTTTTTGATTACCCACTTTGCATTTTGTGCTACCTTTGAAAAATACAGTAACGCACTGCGCATCTAAAATGAAAACGGTGGGTTTTGTTTGATGGAAACATCAATCAAACTCCCCAAATTGTAGTCTTTTTTTCAAATCTGAGATGTTCTTTTTCTCTTTCTTCAAGAGTAGTCAGTTGGCACTAAAACTTTCCAATTTTATACCGCAGATGAAAGATCATTTACTTCTCCTGAAATCAAATAGGACATTTCTCTGGTGAGCAGTAAGGAGCATTGTTCTAAAACGATAAGGCACAGATTCGTCTGTAGATCTCCGGCGAGGTCCGTGGGGGTGGGAGGAAGAGGGATGGGGGGGAACGGCAGATTGATGAAGAGCTGAAGTGGGTCCCTGGGTGACACACGCTCCACTCCACAATATTAAAAACTCCCACACGTTTTTGGGGAGGCAAAATTGCCCTTGCTGGAACACTGGTGTATTTTTTCCAGTAATGAGCAGCATTTGTTTTATCTTGATAGATGGGACGTTGAGGAGAATTCATATCATCGCAAAACTCCGGAACTGCCTTCCGTTTATGCCTGGGTGCCCCATTGATCGCTGCTGAAGGTCATCTTGACAATTACGCAAGGGACACCTTCAGGAGAACGGTTCAAAGCCGACTGCGACACAATGAGGATCTTGCGTGTTTTTTGGGGGCGGCTACAAAGAAAATTTCAGAGTTTAGTCTTGCAACCTGTTACTTTCGCCACTGCTTTCTCGTTGGCGTCTCACACAGCCAGATTTTTGGCTTCTAAAAGTCTTCTGTGCAAGGAAAAGCAGGTGCTACTGAATATTCAGAAGGTGTGGTTTTATGAAAAATACCTTTTAGTTTGTGCTGCTCACACTTATGTCACTTTTGATCATTGTTTAAGTTTTCCAGGCGCAGTCCGCTCCATGCTTTCATCCTGCGACTGTTATCAGAGAAACTGGACCTGGCCCAATGCGTCAAAGTGACCCTATTACAATGACAGCGAGACTAGATCCCTCTTGTGACCTGCACTCGCACCCGCCTCCCTCTCCACAGGATGTAAATGGCCGTTTAAATGAATGAATGTAAGGTTTCTTTCATACATGCCCCAGTAATATTGAAGCCA